GTTCAAGCAAGGGCCTCGGGTGGAAGGAACAGACGGGGGATGTTGGGGCGGGAGGGGCGTGGGGAATGGCCATCCAGCACAGAGGGGGAGCCACTCAGGGACCACAGGGGCGGGAACCCAGGTGGGGTGCAGATGGGGACTGAGGTCGGTGCGGGGGCTGGGGTCCCACGGGAGCGGGCCCCCCACCTCCCCAGGTCCACACCCGGCGCATCAAGAACCAAGACCAAGCAGACGACAGCCTGGACGGGGCCTCCAGGACGCAAGGCCGGCGCCCACCTTCCCCCACCCCGGCCTCCCGCCCGCCAGGCCAGCGGGTCATCCCGAGCCATCTCCAGAGCCTGCGGGCTGTTTACCAGCGACCGTGACAAAAGCCTTTTGTTACTCACTGGCAGTCGGAGGCCGAGGGCCGGTAGTAGAAGGGGGGCACTTTGGACTCGAATGTGGCTCTGGCGACATGGTTTCCGCGGGAGATCATGAACTGCAAGAGAGAGGGTGGGTCAGGGCCCCAGAGGCCAAGGCCGGCTCACCCCAGGGCCCTGGCAGCTCGGTGCCTGGAAAGGAATTAGCAAGGGTTAGGGGACCGCCCTTCCCCGCAGCTGGCTGGGGCCAGGTGCCTCCAGAACGGGGCCCTCCTTGGACGAAGGCCCTTGCCCCTGGCCTCACACGAGGCCTGGCTTGTCCACTCTGCCTGAGCGGCACAGAAGCAGCCCACGTTCCTGTAGGGCAGCCAGGCTGCAGAGACTAGGCATGCGACTGCAAGCTGTGAACAAGCTGGGGGGTGGGGGTGACGGGGAGCCTCTGGAGCAGTCGCCATGCAGGGCGTCCCGGGCCCAGAAACAGCACGTGCAAAGGCCCTGAGGTGGAGCGAGCTGGGCGTACTGGAGGAGATGCCCTGCCCTGGCCTGGCCGGTGTGGGCAGGGGGCCTGACCACAGGGGCCTCAAGAGCAGGGAGGGAGTGTGGGCTGCTGGTGCCCTAACCCCTCCCTCCAAGTCATCGCATTTGAGGACCGTCAGGCCGTGGATGTGGACGATCAATGGGGAAAAAATCGCAAACAATGAGATGCTTCAGCAAAAGGCTGGCACGAACTTAGAATCCTAAAAGCGATGGCTTTTCTATACAAAACACCGATCTGCTCAGAGGTCTAATAGGAGGAAAGGCCGCTGCTAAGAGCAGGTGGACAAAACACCTAAGAACTCTAATGAGGGCCACTCAGGCTCCATGAAGAAACTGTCCTGTGCTCCAGGGCAGCAAAAGCAACTCCAGAGACATACCAAGTTCGTGGTCAGGGAGACAGAAAGCGTGCTGTCTCCCTGTGTTGGTCTATTTTTAGCAATTCTCAAAAAAAGAAAACCAGGAATAGAATTTTCAAGAGCTATTAGCAAAGATTCTAAAGTTCATTTTAAAATTAACAAGCAAAAGCATCCTAGAAAATTCTGAAAATGAAGATGCTTCCAACCAGATATTCAAACCTGTTATAATGCTACTATGAGTCAAACAGTACTGACCAGAAAGCCTAAAAGGTCCAGAAACAGATCCAATAGGATCTAATATCCAGTATTAAACAGGTTTAGTAGGACAAGTGGTGTACAACAGTGGTAACATCTCAGATCGACGGGGGAAGTGCCCATTACTTGATGACCAGTAAGAAACTGGAAACTACTGGAGAAAAGGGGGTGTGCCTTTCAGCAAAGTAAACTCCAACTGTTAAAGACTGAATTTCCAAAGTTAGACAATACAAATATTAGATGAAGGGACTTCCCTGGCGGTCCAGTGGTTAAGGCTCCACGCTTCCACTGCAGGGGGGCACGAGTTCAACCCCTGGTCCGGGAACTAAGATCCCGCATGCCGTGCAGCGTGGCCAAAGGCAGATGAAAATCACGGGATGGTTTAAAAAATAATTTTAGGAAAATATGGAAGGAAATCTTCATGACTTTGGGTTAGGAGTGGTTTCGTAGAGGTGACACCAAAGGCACAAAAGAAAAAAAAATCAATGGAACTTCATCAAAATTAAAAACTTTTGTGTTTCTAAGGACACCACCAGGAAAATGAAAAGATTTATGAACCTTAAAAACACGAGGCTCAAAAAAAAAAAAAAAAAACACGAGGCTCATGAGAAACGGACACAAAATGCCACACAGCACAGGACTGCTTTTGTATGGAACATCCAGAACAGGCAAATCCGGAGACAGAAAAGCCAACTGGGGGTCTTAGGGGGAGGGGAGCGGCCACTAAGGGGGACGGGTCTCCCCTGCGGTGACGGAAATGTTCTGGAACTAGACGGAGGTGATGGTTGAACAAGATTGTGAATGTGCTTTCTTTCTTTTTTTTACTGCAGTGTAGTTGACATACAGTACTGGTTTCAGTTGTACGGCATAGTGGTTCGACATTTATACGCGTTACGAGATGACAAAGTTATTTCAACATTGTTGGCTGTACCCCCTGTGCTGTACGTTACATCCCGTGACTTTTTATCATATGACTGACGTTCATGCCTCTGAGTATCCTGCACCTACTTCTCCTGTCCCCCCTTCCCTTCCCTCTGGCAACAGTGGTTTGTTCTCTGTACCTATGAGTCTGTTTCTGTTTTTTAATATTTGTTGACTTTGTTTTCCAGATGCCACATGTAAGGGAGATCATACAGTATTTCTCTTTCTGTGTCTGACAGATTTCACTTAGCATAATACTACCCTCTAGGTCCATCCATGTTGTCGCAGATTGTAAAATATCACTCTTTTTTACAGCTGAGTAATATTCCATTGTATATATACACCACATCTTCCTTATCCATTCATCTGTAGGTTGCTTCCATATCTCGGTTATTGTAAATCACGCTGCAGTGAACACGGAGGTGCGTGTATCTTTTTGACTAAAAATGTTCTAGTAAACACCTAGGAGTGGGATTGCAGGATCATATGGTGGTTCTATTTTTAATTTTTGGAGGAACCTCCATACTGTTCTCTGTAGTGGCTGCACCAACTTACATTCCCACCACCAGTGTAGGAGGGTTCCCTCTTCTTTACATACTCTCCAGCATTTATTACTATTATTATTTTTTAATGAATTTACTTTACTTATTTACTTATTTATCTATCTATCTTTGGCTGCGTTGGGTCTTCACTGCTGCGCGTGGGCTCCCTCCAGCTGCGGCGAGCAGGGGCTACCCTTTGTTGCGGTGTGCGGGCTTCTCACTGTGGTGGCCTCTCCTGCCGCGGAGCACAGGCTCTAGAGTTACAAGCTCAGTAGTTGTGGCTCGCAGGCTCTAGAGTGCAGGCTCGGTAGTTGTGGCGCACGGGCTTAGCTGCTCTGCGGCATGTGGGATATTCCCGGACCAGGGCTTGAACCCATGTCCCCTGCATTGGCAGGTGGATTCTTAACCACTGCACCACCGGGGAAGTCCAGCATTTATCCAGCATTTATTACTTGTAGACTTTTTAACGATGGCCATTCTGACTGGCGTGAGGTGGTACGTCATTGCGGTTTTCATTTGCGTTTCTCTAATAATTAGTGACAGTGAGCGCCTTTGCATGTGCCTATTGGCCATATGTATGTCTTCTTTGAAAAAATGTCTGTTCAGGTCCTCTGCCCATTTTTAATTGGACAGTTTCTTTTTTTGATACTGAGCTGTATGAGTTCTTTGTATATTTTGTGTAATAACCCTTACTGCATAAATTGTTTGCAAATATCTTCTCCCGTTCGGTAGGCGGCTTTTGCACTTTGTTGACGGTCTCCTTCGCTGCGCGAAAGCTTTGAGTTGCTGTGGCCCCATTTGTTTATTCTTTGCTCTTGCTTCCCTTGCCTGAGAGGCAGATCCAGAACGACATCGCTAAGATGGGGGTCAGAGAGCATATACTGCCTGTGCTCTCTTCTAGGAGTTTTATGGTTTCAGGTCTTATCTTTAGGTCTTTAATCGATGGTTTCAGGTCTTACACTTAGGTCTTTATCCATTTTGAGTTTATTTTTCATATATGGTAAGACAAAGTGGTCCAAGTTTCATTCTTTTGCATGTGGCTGTCCAGTTTTCCCAACACCATTTATAGAAGAGACTCTCCCCCATTGTATGTTCCTGTCTCTGGATTATTCGCTTCATTTTTTAAACATTTATTTTATTGAGGACTTCCCTTGTGGCACAGTGGTTATGAATCCGCCTGCCAACGCAGGAGACACGGGTTCAAGCCCTGGTCCAGGAAGATCCCACGTGCCACGGAGCAACTGAGCCCGCGAGCCACAGCTACTGAGCCCATGCGCCTGGAGCCCATGCTCTGCAACAAGAGAAGCCACCACAATGAGAAGCCCACACACCACAAGGAAGAGTAGCCCCCGCTGGCCGCAACTAGAGAAAGCCTGCGCGCATCAACGAAGACCCAATGCTGCCAAAAATAAAATTTATTTTAAAAACTTATTTTATTGAAGTCTAGTTGATTTACGACGTTGTGTTAGTTTCTGCTGTAGAGCAAAGTGACTCAGTTGCACACATTATATATTCTTTCTTCTCCATTAGGTTTATCCCAGGATATTGAATAGAGTTCTGTGTGCTCGACAGTAGGACCTTGTTGTTTATCCATTTATACATATAGTTTACATCTGTTCATCCCAAACTCCCAGTCTATCCCTCCCCCACCTCCCCTCCCCTCCAGCAACCACGAGTCTGTTCTCTATGTCTGTGACTCTGTTTCTGTTTCATAGATAAGTTCATTTGTGTCATATTTCAGATTCCACATATAAGTGATATCATAAGGTATTTGTCTTTCTCCTTATGACTTACTTCGCTTGGTAGGATAATCTCTAGGTTCATCCATGTAGCTGTAAATGGCATTATTTCATTCTTTTTATGGCTGAGTAGTATTCCATTATATACATGTACCACTTTGTTCACTTTAAAATGAATTTTATGTTACATGAATTTCACCTCAGTAGTTGAAAAAATTACATAGCTCCTTAAGAATATAAACTGCACTTTTTGCATTTTAAAAATATTATTTTAGGGCTTTCCGGGTGGCACGGTGGTTGAGAGTCCACCTGCCGATGCAGGGGACGCGGGTTCGTGCCCCGGTCCGGGAGGATCCCACATGCCGCGGAGTGTCTGGGCCCGTGAGCCATGGCCGCTGAGCCTGCGCGTCCGGAGCCTGTGCTCCGCAACGGGAGAGGCCACAACAGTGAGAGGCCCGCGTACCGCAAAAAAAAAAAAAAATTTTAAAAGTAAAGTTAAAATACAACCAACAGGATGAGAAGAACTACTTGCAAATACTAAATCTGATGAGGGATTTGTGTCCCGAATACATAAAGAACTGAATAATAAAATCACCTAACTCAATAATAAACAGACAACCCATTTTTAAAACGGGCATAGGATTTGAATGGACATTTCTCCAAAGAAGATACACAAAAAGGGACTTCCCTGGTGGTGCAGTGGTTAAGAGTCTGCCTGCCAATGCAGGGGACACGGGTTCTATCCCTGGTCTGGGAAGATCCCGCATGCCGTGAGCAACTAGGCCCGTGAGCCACAGCTACTGAGCCTGCGCTCTAGAACCCGTGAGCCACAACTACAGAACCCACGTGCCACAACTACTGAAGCCCGCACGCCTAGAGCCCGTGCTCCACAACAAGAGAAACCACCACGATGAGAAGCCCGCACACCACAATGAAGAGTAGCCCCCGTTTGCCGCAGCTAGAGGGAGCCCGCGTGCAGCAACGAAGACCCAACACAGCCAAAAATAAATAAATAAATAAATAAATTTATTAAAAAAAAAAACCAGAAGACACACAAAAGGCCAAGAAGCACATGAAACGATGCTCAACGTTACGCATCGTTAGGGAAATGGGAACCAAAACCACAAGACCCCCGCCACGCACCCAGCAGGACGGCTGAGGTCAGACAGATGGCAGTGGGCGCTGGAGAGGACGCAGAGAAACTGGCATCCGCATGGATCGCTGGTGGGAATGGGCAGCTGTGCTGGGAAAGGCCTGGCAGATCCCCAAACATTAGACACAGAGCCACCGTAAGGCCCGGCAGCACCACTCCCTTCTGAGAGGACTGAAAGCACAGAAATATTCTGAGCAGCATTGTTCAGAAGAGCTGGGAAAACGAGACAACGCAGGTGTCCATCAGCTGGTGAACGGATCAACAAGATGTGGTCCATCCATGCGATGGAAATGACCTCGGCTGTAAAAAGAGATGAAGTGCCCCCACCTCGATGACGTAGATGAACCCTGAAAACATGGTGCTCAGTAAAAGACGACACAGGAGCCACACGTGGTGTGATTCCACTGACTCGAAGCGTCCGGATCAGGCAAATCCATCAAGACAGAAAGCAGGGGTCCTGCTCTCAGGAGGAGCTGGGGTGGGGAGAGTGCTGGGGGGTGGCGGCTAGTGGGTACAGGCTTATCTGGGGATATGAAAATATTCTGAAATTAGATCGTGGCAATGGTTGCACAGCCCTGAGAATTCATGAAAACTACTGAATTGTACACTTTAAAAGGGTGAGGTGTATGGTGTGTGAATGACAGAAATCAGGCTGTTCTGAGTAAAAATAATCTGAGGGTAGGGCAGGCCTATCTAAGTGTGCTGTAAATCCTAAAACCACAAAAAGGCAAGGTTGATAAATGTGATTACTTCAAAGTAAAAACGTTTCCACTGCAAAAACCACCATGAGCTGAGTCAAAAGACACCCTTGAGAACAGCGCCTTCACCTACCGTCTCTGAGGGCTGCAGCCCTCCCACGTAAAAACCCCCGAGAAAACGGAAGCATCTCACAGCAGCAGCCCAGGGCCCGGAAATTCACAGATGGCTCTGAAATGTCTCCTAAGACGCTGCACCTCACTCAAGAAGAGAAAAGACCCTACTGGGAACAAGGGTTCACCTCTCTGTCGGCAAAGACGGGCCCTGGGAGACAGGGGTCGGCAGGAACGCGGGCAAACGCTCTCACGCGTGAGGGCACAGGTGGCTAAGAGGGGAAGACTGGCAAAATCCTTAAAGCTAGTCACAGAGCCTCTGAACTCCCCTTCAAGGAATGTGAGCCCCGTCGCTGCCCCCGGCAGGAGGTGATGCTGCCGCTGGCCCGGTGGTCACGGTGGGAAGACCCCCTGCGCCCTTGTGTGCACGGAGGAGCCTGCTGGGTAAACTGGGACTCTCCAGGCAGGGGTGCGCTGGGCAGCCACGGCCTGAGACACATGGCCATCCCAGGGGCACCCGCGCTCCCCGGAGTCTGTGCACGCGGACACGGGGAAACGCCCCAGGGTCCGCCACTCGTGACCGTGGTCCATCCACACAGTGGGTGTCACCGGGCCTTTATAAAGCGGGGGAAGCGCTCGCGTGGTGGCTTAGGCCTGGGGGAGGGGTGGGAGCTGAGGGCTCGGGGTTCTTTCTGAAGTGATGAAAATGTTCTAAAATTGACTGTGGTGACGATTGCTCAACTCAGTGACTGTGCCATAAACCGCTGAATTGTGCTTCAAAGAGTGCGTTGTGTGCCTTGTGAATTATATTTCAATAAGCTTCTTTAAAGAAGATGCTATAGAAAAATACAAAGTTCAGGGGAAAAAACATGAAAAGAAACAAAAGGAAAAGGCACGGACGAGGGTCCCGGGCGCCTGGCCCACAGCCAGGGCCGAGCTCCCCGCATCACGGCCGCCCTCCCGGGAGCGGGCCTGGCTCACGCAGGCTCAGGACCCCCAGCCAACCACCAGCCCAGGGACTCACGGGCAGAGTGAGGGCAGGACCGGAGCCCGGAGGCCCGGCAGGCCCCCTTCCACACCGCCCCGCCCCACCTTGGGGCGGGGGTCCAGCGCCCTGCAGGCCAAGCCCTTCCAGCCCCTCTCAGCTCCCAGCGCCCCCGTCCCACGCCTGCACCACGGGCGCCAGCCCGGCCTCTCTTCGGACCTCACGAGCGTTCGCAGGTGGAAACCAGAGCTTTTCTGGTGGCACCCGTGTCCAGGACCCTCTCCCTCTCTCCTCACGAGACCCTGCAGGGCGTCAAGGCAGCCTCCGCCTCCACGGTCTGACCACTGGGGTGAGGGTGCCTCCAGCCACACGTGTGAATGTTCCACGTGCACAGGGCAGCTTCATTACCTGCAGACTGACTTGGCAGGAAGGCCTGGGTAGGCCCGGGACTCTGCATTTCTAACAAGCTCTGGGGAGGCTGCTGCCACCAAGGCTGCTTGGACAGCAGCAAACTGCTACTCCCGGAAGCAGGGGGAGCGCACAGGGAGCACCGAGCCTGGATCCCCAGCCCTGAGGCAGCCGCCAGCCAGGGAACCCCTCCTCTCGCTGGGTGGGCATGGTCACCACGCCCCCTGACCCCTGACCCTGGAGTCATATTTGAGGAGTTAGAGGCCCCGCCCCTCGGCCCCCACACATCCCCGTGCAGCCCCCGCCAGGGCTCAGGCCCCACCTGGGCAGCCTCACAGCCACAGCCCTCTGTCTGGAACTCACTACCCCAGGCTGTGCCCTGCTCTCACCTTCAGTCAGGCTGGGGGGCCCTGCCTGCCACCCCAGTCCAAGTCACCACCCCCTGCCCACCTGCAACCTGCATGTCCCCCTCTCTAAGGCCTTCTCCTGGGGCCAGCCACTCGCCAGGCCCCCCATGGCAATTGTGCAATAAACACGGGTCAGGTGGACGGATGGGTGGGTGGATGGATGGATGGGTGGGTAGGTGGGTGGACTGGTGAGTGGATGGGTGGGTGGGTGG